CAAGACATGCCCCCCCCCCCGACACACAGACACACAGACACACACACGTAAGGCAGTGTCCCACTATACTTGCTGCTGGTTTCTTCCAAGTTCACAATGAACAATTTTTCTCATGTACCTGAAGGGGGGGTTGTTGCATGATAGGCAATCTTCCATAAGATGAATCTACTTCCTTCCAGCAACAGCTGTAATAATGATAATGAATATGGCAATATGGTGATGTGTGAAACACTGAAAACAGAGATAATATAGTAATACACATCGGGTGGTGTGCAGCTCTGTGGATTAAAACTCAAGGTTTAGTCTCAATGGTTGCCTGTTCAAATCCCGTGAGCAGCAGAGTAACCATGTCACCTTTGGGCCCTTGAGCAAGGCCCTTAACCCCAAATACTGCTCCTGGGGGGGAGGCAGGGGCAGATAAATGGCTGACCCTGTGCTCTGCCCCCAAGATTTGTTCTCATGTGTACAGTATATGTGTTTTATTATAGGAGAGCAAAATGTGGGAAGATTGAATTTGGTTGGCTTTGATTTCACCTGTACAATGATAATAAAGGCATTCTATTATGTAGCAACAATGTTTAAGGTCCACTATACTTTATAAGCAGCGATCAATACTACATTTGTACCATATATATGGCACAGGAATCTGCTGAATGCATTGATATTTTCAATCAGTTTGATACGATCCCCTCCCTCCTTTATTGCAATATGTAATCCTAGATCGCCCTCTGGTGGAAAAGAATGAAATTCATGCGATAGATTGTGTTTTCCGCGAGACTGGCCTTGTTGAACATATTTGAAAGCACAAAATAATTATCAGTAATTTGTTACACAATCCAATAAATAACATCTAGCGCAGCAATTACTTACAATGACACTTTTTTTTCAGCAATAAAACGAATCATCGAGCTTTGGAAAGTGCATAAGGAAGTTTATATCTGGCCGTCCATGGAACTGGGGGGGGGCACAAAGGTCTGTTTATTGGAGCTATAGCAGCTGCCACTCTTCTGCGAAGGATTTCCAGTGTGTCTTTTTGAATTTTTGGCTAATCATCCAGAAGAGCATTTGTGATGTCAGGCACCGATGTAGGACATAAAGGCCTGGCTCACAATCTCTGTTTTAGTTCATCCCAAAGGTGCTCAGTGCAGTTCAGGTCAGGGCTCTGTAGGGGGCAGTCAAGTTCTTCCACACCAAACTCACCTAAGCATGTCTTTATGGACTTTGCTTTGTGCACTGGGGGCACAGTCATGCTGGAATGGAGAAGGACCTTCCCCAAACTTTTCCCTGAAAGTTGGAAGAATAGAATTATCCAAAATGTCTTGGTATTCTGAAGCATTAAGAGTTACCTTCACTGGAACCAAGGGGCCTATAGCCCAACCCTGAAAATAACCCCATACCATAATCCCTCCTCTAGCAAACTTTAACAGTTGACACAGTGCAGTCAGGCAGGTAATGTTCTCCTGGCATCTGCCAAACCCAGACTTGTCCTGCCAGACAGATAATAGCAGTTTGTCACTCCACAGAACATGTTTCCAATGTCCCAGGGTCCAGGGTCACTCCATCGGACACTTGGCATTCTGCTTGGTGATATGAGGCTTGCATGCAGCTGCTTGGCCGTGGAAGCCCATTCCACGAAGCTCCCAGCACACCTTGTGCTGCTTTTGTGCTGGGATTTATGCCAGAGGAAGTTTGGAACTCTGCAGTTTTTGAATCAACAGAGAACTGGTGACTTTTATGCACTATGTACCTCACACTCTGTTAGTTTATGTGGTTTTCCACTTCATGGCTGAGTTTCTGTTGTTCCTAAATGCTTCCAGTTTACGATAATGCCACTTACAGCTGGAATATCTAGCAGGGATCTGACTTATTGTAAAGGTGACATGACAGTACCATGGTTCAATTCACCAGCTGTGATCGTTAGAACAACCCATTCATTCACAAATGTTTGTAACCCTGACTGCATGGCCAGTTGCTTGATTTTATGCACCTATGGCAATGGGTTTGAATGAAACTCCTGAATGTTGTGATTAGAGTTTAACCCATAGAAATGAATGGAGAGTCCCTACAAATATATAATTACAAACCTGCGTGTGCGTGCGTGTGTGTGTGCGTGCGTGCGTGTGTCCTGCAGGACACCGGATTACATTTACTTTAGTATTATGAACCAGCAGTGTTGCCGTAGTATTGTCGGTGCCATGGTAACTAAAACTAACATATCCCATTGGTATTATGCGGTGAGTGAATACAAGCCGATCTAATAAAATTAAAAGCAAGTAAATGTTTACTTTTAAAAACGTTTGTTATATACAAATTAATTGTTGAAATCAAACTTTACTTTGCTACGACTTTTTTTTTTTTAGTTAAATGTGTGTTCGTAGTGGAAGACTTACGCAGTAATATCGTAATCATTGTTATGAGTATTTTAAGTATAAACAATGTACTGAGCCCTTAAAAAACACATCGACCTTGCGGAGTGTGCAAATTAACGAGCTACGGGAAAACGCCGACCGTCACTTCCCGAATAATACAACACTGTATGCACATTTGAAAACTGACTCGTGATATCTCCTCTTTTGTTCTGCCTGCTCTGTTGCAGTGGGCTTGGTGATGTGTTTTGACAATAACTTGAGTTTTACCCACAGAAATCAGGTAATCTATGCACTTAGATGGATTCAAGTCACTTCAAACTCCTATTCTGAAACAAGATATTTCAGAAGGGGCCCTTGCTGTTTGTTGCTGGAATCCACAGGCACACTCTCTGTGACAAATGGAAAACCAAAATTACCCTATCAGGGACCCCAGGGGGGGCTCATGTCCTCATTTACCTCATCTGGGATCACAGGAGCATCCTTTCTACCCACATCCATCCCATGCATTGGTCTCAGAAGCATATCCCAGCCTCTCCACTGGGTGCCTGCCACCTGTCTCACTGGCCCTGTCCCTGGCTGAGCTCCCCCACTTAGTGGCACAGGTTGGCCCTGAGGTGGCCATTGCGGAGTCTCTGTGGACGGAGGGGCCCCACCTGATGACCTCGGCACTGGGAGTCGATATTCCTGTTAATGCTGTAAAGGTCCAGCCTGTGGAGGAGACAGCAGCACAGTGAGTGAGAATCGGTACAATTTTGAGAAGACCTTCACGTAACATTGGCTAAAGTTCTGGGAACATTCCCTGTTAGCTGGGCGGGAGCCTGTCCCCATGAATATATATCATGCTAATTTTGGTGCCAGCTTGCATTTGTGTGAAAATGCATAATAACAATTGTAATCCATTAACATTAAGTGTATGGCACCATCTATTATCATGACTGCACCAAGCCAAACGTCCAGCCACACCCAGCTTCCCCTGAATACCAGGCATATCCGCACCAGTTGGCATAGATTAAAAGCACCAGTTTTCAGTTCACTCATTGAGCGGAATTCACTGTCCACCATTCCGAGTGATTGGAAGATGGATGGAAGATATATTGTGGTTTGTGTATGGAATAGGTTTGTGACTTTGAGTAAAGCCTGGTCACTAACTGAGCACCTTATATTTCATGCAGTGCTGCAGGTTCAGCTGTGCCACTGGGGAAGGCCACAGATGCCACCTCATCTAGGCTGAAGGCCCAGCCTAGGATGGAGTCTCTGACAGGCATGGAAGTGTGGGAGATCTTGACAACAAGGAGACACTTTGGAACGTTTCAGTTTGTGCACTTGAATGTTGTGGATGATACTTCTCACAGGTAGCTTTTACCTTTTTCTTTCAGTTACTCACCAGTGAATAAGCAGTTTTCATTCAGGACATGTGATTAATGTAAATATGTGTTCTGTTAGATTGACATACAGAAGACTGTTTCTTTTGAGAATCAGTCTTATAAATGATAAACCAAATTTAAGAAGGGACAGTAATAGGATTGCAGTTTCATACAAGCAGTCAGCATTGTCCAAAATTGGAGTTGATATAATATCATCACTCCCCACTGTTTTATAATTTTTGCAGGTCATTATAAAAAGTCATACTGCATTGTGTGGCCATAAGCATCCCCCACACCTCTGTTCTGGGCGTCTTGCTGTGATTTCAGACCCTATGACCTGCATGTGGTCCCTCGCAGCCAAGCTGGGAATGAGCACTATGTCTTTTCCCCCACCTCTGTGCTGCACGTGCGGGACGGCTGCTGTGTGGGCCTCTGCACTCTGGCCGAGTGGCATCGGGAAGCCAGGCTGTGGGGGGCGCTACAGGACATCCCCTTTTTCAGGGTCTTTAGGTTACGCAAGACTTTCTCCTGGTGAATACCCTCGCACCCTCCATAGTCATCCACATCCATGTCTGCCTGGTTCAGCTGTTGTCGTGCAAGATATACCTCCCCTCTAATATCAACTCGCAGAAAGTAGTCAAGACAATGAATGGATTCTTTTATGCTGTCAACTAATGCACAATTGCCCACGTGAATATTTAAATATTAGGACTCTTTAGGAATAAAATTAATCTGAATTCAGTTTTTCAATTCATATATTTATTTTTCTACAATTTTTAAATGAATTTAAAAAATGCTAAAAATGTGTTTTCACTGACATTGTTTATTGGTTTTGACTCGATCCATTTTGAAATGTCTACAACACAATATTACACAATATTTTAGAAAAAAAGGAAAAGAGGCTTGAATACGTTGAATGCACTGTACACTGTCACTGTACAGTTGCTAATATCTGTTGTTTCCTTATCTGATGCTTCTTACAGCTGGCGCAGGAGCATACGACAGGGTATTCTTCACTGCAGGCGCAAGATGCTGCAAAAACAGCTGCTGATGGCTGTGCCCCAGTTCAGAGAAGCACTTATCCAGCTGAACAGGTACATGGCGGTAATCTCATCTTTTATTATCAGTAGCAGTAAGCTAATAATATGAACAAATTGATTAACTGCAAATTAAAAATCAATATTCAAACACCAGACTTATGAAGTGTTATGAAGTGTTTAGCCCATTGAGTACAATTCTGTCTTTATTAAGCTACAAAATCTTCTTCCAATAGGTCCCTGGATCTGTCCCATAGTTTCTGGAAAACTTCAAGCCTGACTTAATGCTTTCCTTTCTTGACAAAAAGTCAATTTAAAGTCAGTTTTAAAATATAAGTTTAAAAACATAAATACTTTAATTTCATGTGTTGTAGGGTGCTAAGTAAAAATATCAGTAGAAAAATAATCCCATTTTTAATGATTTAATTTGCCCTTGCAACACATAAAAATGAGATGAGCTGAATATTGTTTGACACCACTGTGTATTTAACTTTAAAACCATTTAAAAATATTTGTCCTGAGACATTTCTTAGTGTTTGATTTTCATTCTAGGCTTATTGAAGAGCTGAAGCAGGTGCACTGGTTACCTCAGGATGCCTCCAGGACCTACACACTTTTGGATTTCCAGAATATTCTCAGCAAGCAAAACCATGAATCACGGAGGATGCTAGCAAAGCTCCTGAAATATCAAACTTTCATACTGCACCTGGTAAAATGAACATTATCTTCAGGATTGGCTGAATCCTGGCTTGCTGCCTTGTATGGGAGGCAGGCCTGGGGGTTGTGTTCCCATACAGTGTTTGTTATGTCTGTCTTTTCAACCTACAACAGACATACAATACCTCATTGAAAGACTTTTGAGCTTACAGCAACATGTGTTTTTTACTGGTTTATGAAACCCAAGACAAGGTTACAATATGTTAAGCAATCCAGGCACTCAATAAATCAAAATATATCAAAATGTCATAACAATCTCCCTGCTTCTTTTTGCAACAACAAACCTCAGGTTTGGGAGGAAAGCTATGCAACAAAACGAGATGTTCAGCTGCATGTCGAACGTCTCCATCTCCGCCAGGACAGCCATTCCCTGCACCATCAACAGGCACAACTGCGCAGCCTGCAGAAGGAGCTCGGTCAAGCCAATCACATGCTACAGCGACTCGGAAACATGGCCACTCTGGCCAATCAAATGATTGTCCAGAACCTTGTCACAATCATCTCTTCAGAGGTGAAATCATTTGTCATCAATGCCTTAAAGGTAAAGAGAGATAGAATAAATGGTGGTGAACAAAATACAGATTATGGTGACAATGTAGATAATCTAATCTTTCATTAATCTATAGTTGAGGTCTTTGAATTAATTTGTAGACTGCAAAATTTGTAGACTGTATTTCATCTGAAACAAATACAATTTAAACATTCTTCCATGTTTCCCAATATGGTCCTTGGGGACAACAGACAGTCCATGGTTTAGTTCTCTCCAAGCTCCCGACCCAGCTGGCAAGGAGCAAAAATGTGAACTGTCTGTCAGGGAACTGGTAGGGAGCAAAAACTCGGACAGGCTGAGGGTCCCCGAGGACCGGGTTGGGAAACACTGCTGTAATTATATGCATCCTAGAAATTCCAGTTGTTAATGGGTTGGTGGGTATTGCTCTTGGCAGAGACAGCAGCCCCAGCAAGCCAGCCTTTTCCAGGCAGAGCTGAGGTTTGGGTCCTCGGGTCAGCTGACCCTCCATCCACCTGTGCATCTCTTCCAGGAGGCCCTGCATAGCGCGGTGCTTTCTGTGGGCGACTCTGCCTTACAGGTGAGTCTCCTGCTAGAATGTGACTCTCACCCCACATACTTAAAGACTTCATACAGTAACTTACAAAATGTTTCTTCTGCATGAGCTGCTTGAACCATGTACACCACCACAAGTATGGAAGTCCACATGTAACACGGCTGGCTGGCTGCAAAGGTGAACTCAGAATTTCCCCAAAGCTGAGACACCTGTACTATTTTATACCTGAATAGTTTAATTAAAGGGAAAAAAAATATTCTGCAGTCTCTCACATTTTTCATTTGGATTCAAATTTGTATTAAAAGCTTTACTGTGTTTAATTTTTTGATAGTTTTGAAGTAAGGGGTCTTCCCACCAAAGTTTGGGAACTTGGTTCCTGGATCTGAGTTCCTGGGCCATCTCAACTGGGAACTTTTGTAGCTTGTGGCCACTTTGATATCTCATTTTCCAATTTCACAACAAGGAACTGTGACCTTTATGCTAAATAAGCATGGAAGATGCAAAAAGCTCATAAATTATACTTCACATGGAATTTCATACGAAACTGGAACAAGTCGTTCCATTAGTTATTTGATATTTGCAGATCATCAATCAATTAAGTAGGGACTTAAAAATAAGGTTCAGGAACTACAATTGTGGCTGAATTTCTGCAGTGGGAACACTAGAGAAATTTCTGGTTTCTAAAAAAAGTTCCTGCCGGCACTCGCCATAATGCCAAAGCTAGGTTAGGCGGAGGAGTTTTGTTCTAATGAAAAGTTATGAATTGTTTTTAATTGAATAACTTTTTCATCAAAAAAATAATGCCTTTGCACAAATTTAAATGGCGTAGAGGTGAGTGCAGCCCTTCCAGGTACTGTAAGCTAAAAATGAGTGATAGTGTGTGAAAAACACCTTGGTAAATGCAGAAATATGCATCTGACACTGTGATCTTGCAGGTTTTTGACAGCAGCAGAGATTCTCCAGACTACAGCACTACTGGTCTCTCAGGAACCAAAGGTACGCTGTGCTTGTTTACAGCTCAGTACTAGTGGTAGTGATCTGTTACTTTATCAGATAAAGATTCTCAATGTCTCGCTACTCAGGTCCCTACTGGGAATCCTTATTGTGTTTGTCCTCTTGGTCCTATGGACTCTGACAGTCTGCTGAGTGTTATGTGTTTTCCCATGAATGCAGAGCCCAGTGCTTCCCTGGCTCCCAGTTTGGTGTTGCCAAAGCTTAACCCTCTGCATGTGGAAGAGCAGAGCTTGGGAGAGCAGTACTATCCACTGTTTGGGAATCAGTTGGAATGGCAGCTTAGCCTCAAAGCTGACACACAGCAAGCTGAGGGAAAACAGGCCAAAATTACACAGGCAAGGCTGAGCTTACGTATATAGAATGTAATGTATACTTTAAATTTTTATATCTTGATATATGAAAAGTCCTCAGTTTACTCCTCCTTTTTCCAGGAGGCTCTGGTGGAAGTACTACAAATGTGTGAAGATTACTCCTGGCTGGTGGACATCAATTTGTTCACCAGCCAATGGAGCAGAGCCAGGCTGGAGGCCCCGAGGTCTTGCGACCACTATGGGCAGCAGGTCCTACAGGTGCGGTCATGGCAGGAGAAGTTACTGTCTGTTCCTGCATTCTACACCACCTCCAACAACCTGCTGACAGTCCACTTTTCCCACCTTCTGGAGAATATAGGTAGGTTGCCTGTGCCGGAGGAAGACTTAACCATGATGATGGTCCAACCTTTATGTTTCTACCTCATGTTATCTTTTCCTCAGTGCCTGTGCTGAGCTCCATTGAGGAGGACATGTTGACCCTACTGGTAGGTGAGCTGAAGCAGCGGTCAGACAGCCTGATATCAGAGCTAAGCAAAGCTGTGGAGGACCTGAGGATGGAGCCTACAGACCTCAGTGATTATACTCTCTATGCCAGCATGGTAATTCCATTTTTATATGCTGAATCTGCAGCAGCCAGTGCTGTTACACCAAAATCTTTACAAAACAATAAATGAAAGATTGAAGTGTAGCTCATGAGCCCACCAAAGTGTGGCCAGCAGGGATGTGCAAAATTAAGAATTCATGAATTGAAGTGGTCACACCCCACAGGATGTTGAATTGGAATGACAGGGAAAAAAGATTCTCATTTCAATTAAAAGAAATTCAGTTGAAATGCACAACACAGGAATGTCTATACAGTGGTGCCTCAGAACTCGAATTTAATCCGTTCAGAACTCCGGGTTGAATCTTAAAAAGTTTGATCAAATTTTCCCCATAAGAAATAATGGAAAACCAATAAATTGGTTCCCGGCCCCAAAAAATTACACCTAAATATGTTTTTTTAGCATTTAAACACAAAATGAACCGGATAAAACAGGAAGAGCATATACTGTACTAAACACATCTAAGCACATTTATCAAAACAGTAATTTGTAAAGTAAGAAAATAAATGTATCCAAACAATGTGTCCTGCCCCAATAGTCCGCTCCTTCTGTGTGTCACTCCCCCTCGTTAACCCCGTTTCTGGTTGTTGTCATTAGTCCTCTGTATTTCGTCCGCGTTTCAGTTTGTTTATCCAGTCTGGTCATTGTATTGTCCGCCTGCGTTATGCCTGCCTTACCTGTAATTAAACCCCGTATTCCCCGATACCCTGACGTCTGCGCCTTTGTCTCCGTTCCGTCCCCGCTCAGCACGACAATATTATTATAATTAAACGTATTAATGGTTTATTATTAATATTAAAATAATGAATAATAAATCTTTATTTTTAAATGTATTTTATTATATAATAATAATTACTGTTACTGTCTATCATTGTCTAAATGTATTTTTACTGTCTAAATATATGTGTTCAGCTAGTGTAAACATGCACATCACAGTGAATGCGAGGCTGAGAATTAAGCGTTACCCTTTGTTTCCGCTGAGGTACCACTATGTATTTACTTTCTAGATGCTTGTATATGTACAGTATGAGTAAAGTGGACTTACGTGACTGTAAGAGAAACATTGTAACTTTTAGCCTATTCTGTCCCTATATATTTGGTTTATCTTAGCCCTGTAAGTCCTTTTCCCTAAGCACATATTTATTGTTTTGCATATTGAACTGTTCATGCGTATTAACAGGGTTGATGCATTTTAATTCAACAAATTTCTAAAAAAGTTTTTGTATCACCATTTTTGATTTTTTATGAAAGCATGTGAATTACACATACACTACAGCTCAGAATTATTTTTCATTTATTTTTTCATTTCATTTGTTTATTTATTTGTAATTTTTTTTCCATTTCCTGCAACTTTTCTAAACTATGGGTAGCAAAAAAATGACAATTCAGTGTTTTTTAGCTGTAACTTTCTAAATATTGCAGCTACATTGATCAAATTTTTTTTCCAAAAAAGTACTCTTTAACTATTTTCAGATGGGGGCAGCCGGTTCAAGCCCAGCCTCAGCATGTCTGCAGGTCCTTGAGCAAGCTCCCTGGGCACCGCTACGGGTGGCTGCCCTTCGAGGGAGGCGTAAAAAGAATTTCCCCATGGGGATTAATAAAGTGTAAATTAAAAATTAATTAAATTATAACAAAAAATGTATTGCTATTTAAACAAACAATAGAGTTACGGAGCTCTGAACTTTTAAAAAAATACTGAAGCCTGAAGTGTTTTGGGGGGATTTTTCAAAGAATTTCTGCTTCGTCTTGCAAGATTAGGTCTAAGCATTGCGTAAAACTAAAGAATTTTTCCAAGTTAATTGAAAAAAATATACCCTCCCCCCACATGCCTTTTCTGAGACTCAAAAATAGCTTTTGTTAAAATAACTTGTACGCATTTGATGTGCTCATCTCACAAAGGGAAACAAGTAACAGGTCAATAGTTTATATACAAGTAGTAAACATACACTGTTCTTTAAATAACTAAAAGTAATAAAAAGAAAATGCATCTTGTGAGGTGAACTTCAAAAAAAGAAACTTAGACTTAGACTTAGAGAAACTGAGGTATACATGTTGAAAAGAATTACTATATTTCATGTAGTTTCTCCTATTTCCTTATGTGTAGAACAATAAATGTTGTCTTTCAGTTCAACCTTAGAACTATAGCAAAAAGCAAAACGATACACATGACCCTTGTAACCCTGAATAGGATGAGCGGTTTCAGAAAATGGATGGATGTTAAGATGCATTGTCAGAAGCTGCACCTGCACTATGCATATGCATAATTCAAATTTAGTTCAGATTCACAAATTTGCGGGCAGCGTGTGACTCAGTGGGCTAAGCCTGTGTGCCTGTAATCAGAAGGTCAAACCCAGCCTCAGCACGTCTGCGGGTCCTTGAGCAAGGCCCTTAACCCCCAGTTCCCTGGGTGCCCCAACAGGTGGCTGCCCTTTGCGGACAGCTTACTCTACAAAGAGCAAGTTGCGGGAGGCGTAAAAAAGACAATTTCCCCATGGGGATCAATAAAACTATGTATAAAAAAAAATGAAATATAAATAAAAAAATTTAACTGGAGTTTCTGGGCCATTTCTCAGTTCATTTCTGAATGGTGCACAAACCTGCTGGCCAGTGACTAATGGAAAAAATGTCTGAATAAAATCTGCAGTAAATGGTTCAACTTCCAGATTTATGCGCTATAGTTTCAGCTTATTCTCTCTTTATTGTCCTCACTCCTCTCTACCCTAGCCCATCCCGCAGGGTCCATGCTCATTACTCCTCTACTCTCACTCTACTCCTACATCCAGGTGAAGAGCTGCCAGAGAATGTCCGATGATTTCGAGCAGCAGCTGGAGCAGCTGTGCTCCCTTCAGGAGACTCTTCGCCTGCAGTATAGGGCTCTGAATGCAGAGGAGACCCAGCTGGAGAAGCAGGTATCGTTCTACTGGTTGCAGATCAGTAAAACTGATACATCTACTGTATCCACAGCTTGTGTAGTTAGAGGCATACATACATATTCTCATTCTGCCAGCAATTCTTGTGGACTGCACCACTATTTTTTTTTACTTTCTAGTAACTATATTACTATTTATGGGATTTTCTGTATCACTGTCTGCTGTTTGTGAGTCTGCACGTTCTCTGTCTTGTACACAGTTGCTGCACCTGTGGAAAAACTTTAAGCCCCTGCTAAAAAGGGCTTCAGAAAAACTGAACGGCCATTTGCCTTTCCTGTCCAACACCCTGGACAGTACCTTCCACTCTCTGCTCCAAGAGCTCAAGGCTCTGCTATCTAAGGCAACTTCAGGTCCATATCTGGATCCCTCCCAAAAGGCCACCCTCATGGTGTCCCAGCTGGACGCCATCTGCAAGCACTTCTATGTTGCATCAGCACGCCTACAAGAGCTGAGCTGCAGCAGTGAGATGCTCAGGGGTACGATGGTGACCTTGGGGCACGGGTGGACTTGCATAGCTGAATTTAATCATGAAAATTACTATGCAGTGTACTGGGTGTGGTACTATATTACATGTTTACCCCACTAATCTAGTGTCATAAAAATAGCAGTAATTTTTTTAACTGGTAAGATTTATTGGAATAAATGTGCAGTGTACAACATAGGAAAATGAGTCATTAGTCAGCTTTGTCTTATCAGATTAGAATTTCATTATGTGAATGGAAAATGTGTGACACAAACCTACCAGGTTTCTCTTTACTGTTAGGGGAGCAACTGGACTTGAGCTTTGTGGAGGCAGCAAGGATTAAGCTGGAGGCGCGCAAAGGATTGTGGGAACTGCTGAGTGCCTGCACAGCTCAGATCCAGGAGTGGAAACTTCTGATGTTCGAGAAGGTGCAGCAGTATGATGTGTGCTGTTCTTTTTCATTATGCTTGAGACCTAAATGGACTTTAAATGGAAAAAAAAAACATGTGTCTCAGGAATTATAATACAACATTATATCAATATTCTTTTCATGATCAATATTATATAAAAATTGTTATATATATTCTATGAAAAAATTGAATAGCGTAACTGTTGGGAGTTGGTAGTTTGTGGTACAGAGAGCCCAGGGGAGAGTCAGAGAATGGCTGCAGCAGGCTGAGGAGATGGCCAGGAGCATCCTGCCCAGTGACGCTGTGCTCAGTAGTGCCCAGCAGCTCCTTCAGGGCTTCAGCCAGCAGCTCTCAATGCTGGGCAACCTTAGCAGCCCCACAATCAAGCACAAACACTGGAGGAACATCCTGAAAGGTTGGAGAAAAGGCACAATTGCACACACTGGCATGTTCATGTGCCCACCTGCAGTCTCACAGCTTGTCTTTCATGGTCTTTCAGCAATGGACCTTCTCTGCATCACTGAGAGAGACTTGACTGTTGCCGTCTTCTTATCCAAAAGGCTGTTGGAACACCAGGATGAAATCAGTAAAGTAGGGTGCACAGGGTCCATTGTGCTGTGATTTTTAGCTGATAATAATCAGAATCACAATCTTTGTTCGCCAAGTATCAAGTGTTTAAGGAATTGCTCTTGTTGCAGGTGTCAACACAAAGAGATACACAAGATATAAGATATACAAGAAATTAAAATATAAATAGACTATAAATGACCAAACTGCAAGTAGAAAGGATGTGCAGTGCAGCAGTGTAACATCAAAGTGCAACTGTGTGTCTGTGTACTGACTGCAGTGGTGGAACTGGGAAGGCTCTGGCACAGAAGGATTATGGCATGGCATGGGATAGGCAGTGGCTGAGTGCATTACAGTGTGTGTAATGAAGGCATGGAATGGGATAGGCAGTGGCTGAGTGCATTACAGTTTGTGTAATAAAGGTATGGAATGGGATAAGCAGTGGCTGAGTGCATTACAGTGCATGTAATAAAGGCATGGCATGGGATAGGCAGTGCCTGAGTGCATTACAGTTCGTGTAATAAAGGTATGGCATGGGATAGGCAGTGCCTGAGTGCATTACAGTGTGTGTAATAAAGGCATGGCATGGGATAGGCAGTGCCTGAGTGCATTACAGTGTGTGTAA